GATTAATCTGAAAACAAAAATTGAATGACTCTTAAATCTGTCTAAAAATTGGCTCTGACGGTGTAGATATTGTCTCGGTGTGGACCACTTCAGAGAGAAGAAGATTTAACAAATGTGCGAGAGTGAGAATGCCTTGGCAAATTTTCAAGGCCGTGTTCAATGTCTTGTTTCCTGAAAGCAATACACAGCAAATATCTATCATGCAGACAATTTGCAATATTTTTATCTTCACGAAGCAGATCACATGCAATGTGTTCAAAATGTGTCACTGACAGAAAAGCAAACGCCACAGTTGAACGTTTTACTTTTTGCTCTCAGTGAATGAAGTGAAACCAATTTAGATCTCAGGTTTAAGTTCTCTGATTTCAACGTGGAATCTCTTTATTCTCTTCCAAGCTTTTAAAAGTTATGTCCCGTAGTTCATTTTATCTGCCCTTTATTTCATGCTGTTTGCTCTCAGTTCTCACTCTCTCTGCCTCATTTTCATTTCCAACCCTCAACTCTTTCCTTCCTTTAAAGCCTCATGGGCTTTATAGTGGCTGCTTCTCTTCCATCTGTTTCCCAATCAATTTGTTCTCATTTCCTGCCAATTGGTCCACCTCCATGGGCTAAGGCTCATTTAACAGGAAGCATCGCATGTTGAGATCATCAGCTGTAGTTATGGTGATCAGCCTGTGGACCTTTTGCCGTCAGGGAAGCTTGCCTGGATTTTAGCCATTTGTTTGAAGTTTTGAATGTAGCCCTTTACAAGACCACTGTATGTGTTCGTGTGAGGACATGACAGTGTTTAAGCAGATGGTTCACAATTTCACTCATTTTAACAGCGTGAAATTTTAATGAAGAAAACATTGTGCCTGTGGTCAGGCTGCTGTCAAGGTTTCTGTGGTTTAACATAGGAACCTTTTTTCTTGGTAGCCCGATTTAACAATCCGTTATTTGTTTGATGTGTCATGGAAAGACAACTGACAGAAGACTGCCAATCATATTTATGTTCAGCGTGTGTAAAACAAAACTTCCTCACAGATATCTATTATCACTATCATGCATTTTTTTAAAGACTGCCACAACGGCGCCTCTCTAATCTCTTTAGGCATTAATGTCTCACCCATACAGTATTACTGTTAGAGCTGCTGCTGTCCTTCACAAAGCCAATCTGGAATTTGTGTGCTTCTCTGAGCACAGAAAACAGAAGGCTTACAAAAAAATCCTCATTGTCCTCACTGATATGCCAGAAAGATTTTCTTTTTCTTCCCCTCTCATAAATTTTAAAGCAAGCTTTAGGTCACAAAGTGGTGACTGAGTGTTGATCGGGAGAAGGCAGAGCAGCTCTGCTGGCCAGCCAGCTGCACACATATTAAACGTGAAACTATGAGTTTCAGAAGACACTGAGGAAAAGTGTGTGGAATGTGTGCAGTCTGCATAGTCCAGTTAAGGTCTTATTATTTTGGTTAAGCCGTTTTCAGCCGTCTTTGATAGCCTACAAATTAGTTTTCCAGTTCATATGCATAAACCAATTAACAGATGATCCGTGTCCACCTTTGTGGCATGACAGCTCTTTTAACTTAGGAGTATTGTCCTTGCAGTAGCTCAGCTACCCCACATTTAAATCCCAGTGCATTTTAAATATTATAAAGTGCACTTTTTAGGAAGATAAACATCTATACTATATGTAGCACACAGTATGTACCATGTGTATGTTGTCTATCATCTTTATGGCAAGCTAAGACAACCTTAATGTAGTTTAATGACATTACCGCTGTATATAATACACAATACAGAGCTGTAGTGTCTGTCTGCTGCTCATGAAGTAGCCAGTCTTATCAGTGGGAGCAGATGGAGAGCGTCCAAGTGAGAGGCTCAGTCTGGCTCCATGTATGTCATAAGTAAGAGGATGACCTTGGCTCAATCTCAACTGCAGTTCAACCATAAGAAACAGACTGTTTCTTTCTGTCTTTCTGTGGATGTCTATGTTTCTGCCACTCTCACAGGCACATTCATACAAACTGCTTTGCTCCTACACATTCCCATATGCAGTGTTACAGCTGAAGACAATATATACTCCTCCATACATTTATAACGTGCTCACTGAGGCTCTTGCAGACCCTTGCATGCAGAAACTGAGTCATGTGTAGCATTTATCGCAGTAGAGTAAACATTTTTTTTTCTTTAGTGAAGTTTGAACCCTATTTTATATCATGCCCCAGCAAAACTTGAGGCTCTTAAATTAACCCGACACTGACTATTTGACTTGTATAATATAAATCCTAAAACACATTAATCAAGGGCAGTTTTACTAGGGCCTGTGCAGTTGTTCTCACTTTTCTGCTCTCACAGTTTAGGATAAACATTCAGTGAAAAGTGATATGAATGGATTTTTGGCCAATAAAATTGAAGAGGGCTGCTTGTAGATTTATATTGGACCAAAGCTGGGTGAGATAAGGGGCTCAGTTTTGGAAAAAGAGAGATATGAGACTTTGAGTGATAGATTTATGAGATTTTCACTGGTTTACATTTGTGTTTTAGTTGTTGCCACTGCAGCTTTACCGCATTCTCTCAGTCCTTTCTGTTCTCAAAACCTTATTAGACCTATACTGTATGTGTCTTCTTTAATAGATGTCAGATGCCCAGGGAGTTTCTTTCTTCTGGAACCATCAACTTTTATTATTTTATAATGCACCCAGAGGTACATCTGCCCATTGTAAATTCCAACTTACAAAGAACTATTCTAAATAGAGATTCACTCTAAAAGTGGGTTGCAACATGCAAACAAGTCATTATGTAAGATTAGTTCTTATGTTATAGTATTTAATTATTTTTTTAGGGAAATCTGATACTGTTTGCAAGCACTGTTTACAAGATCAGAAGTTGAGAAACCAATACTGGTACAAAGGTAAATCTTAGTCCCTGAAGGTTCTTATCTATCTCAGATATTGGGATATTATTTATGCTAGTAGAAACCTACAAATGGGCTACAAATGCTACTATAGGTATTAACCTAACCCAACTACTGCATGTCTTTGTACTGTGGGAGGAAGTAACTGAAAAGAATGGTGGAGTTGAGCGAAATTCAGGACTTTCATGCTGCGAGGCAACAGTGCTAAACACCGCCCCAAACACTTATCTGCTGGCTAAAATCACAGCTCTGATACTGTAGCATGGGCATATAGTACTGATACTATAGTACTCTAATACATGGAGATAAAAATGAATTGACATGTCTGGGTTTGTAATGACATTTTCTCACATAATTTTTTGGACAATATGCGGTGAACTTTTGATTGCTGACTGCTGCAGATGTTTTCTTGCAACTGTTTAACGAAATGCACGTCAACTTTGTATTTTCAAGCTCATATATTTCTCGTGCTTGAATCGTGAACTAATGCTAAGTCGGTTACAAGTTTTTTAACCAGCTGGAGCAACACAACAAGACCAGAGAGCAGCGATCAGGAAAAATGTTGTCAGGTTTTTTTTATTCTATTTGGCGATTAATGCCTGCGCCTGGTGTATGAATGCTCAATCTTTAACAAAGGTCTGCTAATTAAACATGAGCTTCTTTTGAAAAGGCCCACAGTTGCATTTTGAACATGAACGATTCAGTTTCCTCCTTCAGAACAGTTTTAATTCAAACTATGAACTAAAACTTATATAATTACTTGACCTTTTATCTGTTACTTTAAAGCAGTGCCCTTCACATGTACCGTATAAAACATCTCTGTAACAGAGTACTAATGAGCCATTGTACGTCGACATTCTCATATCTGGATAATTACCATTTCACATTATTGTGGGAAAAGCCCCCTCATTCATTGGGTATTTCTTATAAACTGAGACTCAGATCAAGTCTTGTTACAGATTTAAAGTGGAAACTTGAAAATGGTAATTGTCTCATTCGGTCTCACTTGAGAACGCCTCTGCAGACTCTGCTAAACTGTGAAGCAGATAGGCCAAGCAGGGTCGTTGGTATTAGGATGAAATACTCCATGTTGTTAAAATGTCTCATTTTAAATGCTACAAAACAGTTGTTCATTTGTATTTAAATTTTGCCTGTTTTCACTTTAGTGCTCATGCAGCCACTGAAAATGTCAGTGTTACTAAAAAAAGAAGTCACTGTGGAGAGTCGTCCTTGCTTAGAAATGTCATGCAACTTCCCATTAGAAAGGAAATATTTCCTCGATTGACCTTTGAGGTGTAATTTGTATGTAACACGAAAATGAGACCGGTATGCTCATTTATTTCACAATGCTGGAGGTGTTTGTGAATTGTTTGAATATCAGTATCAAGCCTGTGCCTTGGCCTTCTTCCTCTCCGTAACCCTTTTTCATTTACTCATCCAAGCCAGCTATGACTTCCGTTTTTAATAAATGTTTTTTCAGTGTGGGAACCGCTCCATTACTTCTGATTATTTGTAATGGCAAGCTCATTCTTTTATAGTACATTCACTTGAAGACTGTTTTAATGAGCTCTCAGAAGGTCTGCTTCCTTAGCCTGTGGCTAGATCCAGTTATGTACAGCAAGCAACTCTACTAGACCAAGACTATATAAGGCATGAACACTTCCCTAGACATGAAGACATGCCATTCTTCCCTTTGACAGATATTATCCAGTGGGGAATGGTAGCCACACGATTTGAGTAGATCCTTGATTGTAACATATTGCACAAATAAAACATAAAGAAATATTTTAGGATTGCAGGGGATGTCAAGCTATTTTGGAGGGCAATATGAGCTATTTGGCTGCGTTATATGTTTAGTTAATAATAAAGACATTTGACTTTATTTTTAAAGCTGAAATGTTTAATTTCTGGAGACAAATACTGGTCATTTTTGACCGAACTGAAATTAATATTACAGACTATCCACCTGTTAATGATTGACCTTCAGATAAAATGCTACAAGACGTGCTATACGTGTTTCACTTCCTAATTTGGACACGTGTGTTTTTAACACATTATCTTGTTTCCTGTCCTTATTTCTGCCCCCTGCTCCCTGTCTGCCTTCCAGACGCCATGATCCGGCTGGAGGAGGATAATCGTGCACCCCCAGTACACAGCATGGACACCAAAAGGCACTCTGCTGAAAGGTGACCTCCAGGAATTTCACCTCCACAAATTATTTGGTGAGTTAAAAGTGAGAGAATCTCCTGTTGGCCCATGACACCATCTTCCCCCCGTGTTAGCTAACCTGCTGCTTAACGCAAAACTTTGTTTTAGACATTTAAATGAAGTCCTCTAAAACAGAAGACATAAAAAAATTGTACAGTTTTATATTAATACCTTTTTAGGAAAAAAGCTCAGCATGGATTTATGGGTTTTTTTGTTGATTTTTTTTCTAGCACCATAAAGCGCTGATTGAATGAGCTATGCTTAAAATTGTTCCTTTTGGTCTGCAAAAAAGGTTTAAGCACAAAAAAAATGTCATTTCCCAATTAAAATTGTACATTTTTCTTTTATGACTAAATCTGTTTTTTCTTTTAGTATCATTTAGAAAAAGAGACATAATGCAGGTTGTATTAGTGTGTGTGAGCACTCTTCCTGCAGCTCTTTCTTCCCCCTGAGCGTTTTAAGCCCTTCTGAGCAAATGAGCATAGCCATATGGCTTATACTTATTCTTTTGGCAGCCCTCTACTCAACCCATTTCACCAGTGGTCTCACTTCCTGTGTGAACTTATTATACAGTTAGGTCTATAATTTGTTGAACAGAGACATAATTTTTGTATTTTTGCCTCTGTACACTAGTGTTTAGCTGTTAGCTTTAATTCAGGGGGTTTAACAAAAAAGACCTGCATTCACTGTTTATTCATTAGTCACTTTATGCATAGTCTACTGTTTTTGGAGGCTCAAAACTAACTAACTGTCACTATGCTTTGGGTCATTATCACTATTTGCACTGTGAAGTGCTGTCTGATTAGTTTTGCAACATTTGTCTGAATCTGAGGAGAGAGTATAGCCCTCTACACTCCAAGATTCATCCTGCTGCTTCTATCAATAGTAACAGCAGTAATAAACACTAGTGACCCGCTTCCACTGGCAGCCATACATGCCCATGCCATAACATTGCCTCGATTATGTTTGACAGATATTGTGGTATGCTTTGGATCACAAGCAGTTAGTGTCCTCCTCGATCTCTTCCCTTCATTCTGGTACAAGTTAATCTGCCCAGAGATTTCTTTTCAGAAATGTCTTTCTTTTTCTTGAGTATAACCAGTGGTTTGCTCCTTGTTGTAAACTCTGTATTTACATTAACGAAGGTGCCTCTTTATTGCTCACTCTGACAAGGACGTTCCTACTTCCCCTGGAGTTCCCCTTCCCTTGACTTAATTAGATGTTGTAAATTTGTTTTACTTAACCATAAAAATAATTCTGTTATCTTCTACTGTCTTTTGGTCTTCTACTTCTTTGGTCTTTTGGGCTTTTTGGTATTGTGGAGTTGGCCAGTGAGTTCATTCTTTTTAAGAATTTACCAAGTTATTGATTTGGCTATGCCTAAAATTTTTGGCATTTATCTGATTTGTTTAAATTTGTTGTCGTTTTTTTTTCTTTCAGCCTAATGAAGGCCTTCCTCACTTGCACCAACATCTACTTGGGACTCATATTTAAAATTGTAGTGATAAAATATAAAAGGTAATTCTGAAAATGGGCCACTATGTATATTTTTTTTTTCCAATTCCTAAACAGCTGCAGAAGCTTTGTAAAACCTCTTGAATTAAAGCTGGAAGGTTGCACTTCAATCACATCTCGGTGGTTTGATTTAAAACCCATGTGTGGTGGTGTACAGAGGCTCATAGCTGACTATGAGAATGTTACAGTACCATGCTGATGGTAGAATTTAGCTCAAAGCATCATTTCCACAAAGTACAGCCCCCCACAGCTGCTACTTGAGTTCTTATTTTCTAGTTTATCAAAAGTGTCACCTCTTGTAGATTTTAGTTAAAAGAAATCATGTGTGCAGATGACTTCTCATGAGGTAAAGAGGTATAATGAAGTGGTAGGAGAACTCTTTCTTCCAGTCAATCAAAACAGCATGATCCGGTATTATCCTGCAAGCCTGCCTGGGAAGGCTCTGATTAGTCCTGCCTGAGGAGCTACATTAATATGAGTCTAATAGCCATGGATAAAACTGACTTTAATTCCTGAACAGTTAATAAAAATGCAATTAAAACACCTTGAATAAAAGCTGAAAGTCGTCACTTCGATCAAATCTGGATTGTGCGATTTAAAGTAAACTCTTGTGGCGTACAAAGGCGGAACTACAAAAACTGAGCCTTTCCTGAGTAAATTATTATTCATGAACTCAGCTAATTCAATCTGAAAAGACCTGTGATTGGCTGAAGTCTCCTGTCACAGCCTAGACCTTCAAAAACCTGAAAGCAGATCCCATGTTCTTTCTCAGACCAACTGCATTGCAATACAATATAAGGTCATAATGATTTTTTAAATCCTAGTGACACCAAATTATATTACCAACCAGTTACTAACAATCATGCAATTCATTAAAACATTTAAACTTACCAGCTTTGTTGCTAAATGTTTTCAGCTGCTGATTAAAACACAGTTGGTGCTTGTTAATAGGATCAATATATTTTTGGTTTTGGCATTTTTGTGGGCTATTATAACAACTATGATTATTCAAAAATATTTATCCAAATTTGAAAAAAAAATATCTAATCGTTGAAATCTCTGTAGACTACTAAATTTAAACTACCTGTGTAAAAATGATGGTGAAGTGTGCTTGATCTTAATTTAGATGCACAATCAAGACACTTTGCTTTTGTGAAGGGCCATGTAGGGTAGCAGTCCTCAGTGGCAGTTGCTCAACATCTGTAAGTTATTATCTGCGAAAACAAAATATCAGTAAAAAATAATCAGCAGTAATAATAATGACATTTGGCAGATGACAACAACCACAATGCAAAAACACAAATGCTGCTACCAATACTTAGATGTACAATAATAAATGTGATGCCTAATAATGTGCAATGTGAATAGGCAGCATTGCTTGGGAAAAGCAGTATGCGTGTGATTTAATTGGATCAAGATTTGCTTTTAAAAAAAGAACCCCAAAAATGTTGTTAAAGGCAAAGTACAAGTGTCACAAAGAGGGCGACAGGCTGTCACTTGACAAATGAAATGAATATTTGTGTTGGATTCATAAGTGGAGAGGCTGGTATTTCGGTTGTGTGGTCTCAAGTTACATTAGTGATAATTATTTCTGTTATTTATTCTTTGCTAATAGCAAAAACTTCTGCAAAAAAATGCTAAGGAAGTAGCATTTTAGGTAGGTCGTATAATAATAAGCTCGTTCGGTCTTCATGTTGAAGTATCATAGTGCGAGATATTGATCCCCAAGTTGCTCCTGGTGTGTGTGTGTCACAATAAAAAAGTGCTGTATAAAAGTGTAAACGGGGGTTGTAGTCGAAAGCCTATTGCTCAGAGTAAAAAAATGCTATAT